CACAAGAACCAAACTCCTCGGAACGAGATTTGACCATATCTCTATCGGATTTGACCATGTCTACACAGCCAGTAACACTCCTGGGCATGTCAAAATCAAGCAGATGCAAAATGTTAAATATCTGAGAACTGTTTTAACAGATGATGGAAACTATGACGCCGAAATTCGAAGACGCATTGGAATATTTCAAAAATCTAACGAAACTGTTATGAAACAGGAAAAGTGCATTAGAAACAAAGAAAAGAATGCTATATTACTATGTAATATAAATTGTCTAATATAGCAGTGAATACTGAACAATTTTATTACATGTAAAAGAGACTTGAAGCAACAAAAACAGAAAAAAAGTGTACTGAACTGTTATGTAATATGAGTCCTCCTATATGGTAGTGAATGCTGGACAATCTCCTCATAGATAAAGAGGAGACATGAAAAAAGAGAAACAAAGAAAAGAGTGCCAAACTGCTATGTAATATCAATCCTCCTATATGACAATGAATGCTGGGCAATTTCCTCACAGATGAAGATGGGACTTGAAGCAATAGAAACAAAGAAAAGAGTGCTGAACTGCTATGTAACATCAATATTCCTATATGGCAGTGAATGCTGGACAATTTCATCACAAATGAAAAAGAAACTTGAAGGGACAAAGATATGTTTCTACAGAAGGATGCTAAGAATCCCATGAATAGGACATGTGAGCAATGAGGAAGTTCGAAAGAAAATGCCAACTAGGACATTTATACTTACAATCAAGAAGAAATCCCTATCTCTATTTATCGTAACTTAGTCGAATATCACCGAATCAAAAGCGTGCTGAAATGTTACGTAATAGCAATTCTACATGACAGTGAACGCAGGAGATTTTCCTCACAGACGAAACTCCAGTCAACAGATGCCGTTCTACAGAAGGATGACGAGAATACCATCGACAGAGCCTGTGAGCAACGAGTAAGTTTTAAGCAAAAGGGACTTTTAGAATCATAACACAACAGCTGACATTTCTAGGACACATAATGAAGAAAGAAGACTTGGAAAAATTGACACACATAGGACATGAAAGCAAGAGGGACTGAGGGTAAAAAAAAGATTAATATACATAACAAGCTTGTAAAAATAGATCAGGGAGTGGAAGAAATAGTACTGCCGTTGGCAAAACTTCATAGAATTGGCACATTTAGAGGATGTTCACTTTGTTTTTTTACTTTTTTTTATTTAACAGTAAATAAACTAATCACAGATAAGATCTAAAACATGTTTTATTTAATAGCTGAACCCTCTGGTTTAAGATGATATTACAGAAGACCAGCAATGTCAATACGACATATTGTGCCGATGGTATGAATATGAATATATCTTTCTCTCAAAAGCAGAAATTTGACAATTTTCTAAAGAAAACAAAACTGTAGAGAATTTAATAAAATATCCATTTTAGTTGAATACAAAATAAAAAAAGAGTTAGATTTAACGTTGAGGAAACAAAGATAACATAAGATATAAACAGGTTTTCTTTATTTAAAATGTACCAATTGCTTTCACCATGGATAATAAAAAGCTTATTAGCCAACATCCATATATATATATATATGTATTTACTGGAGGTGGAAGTTTCAAGAGATGCCAATAGGGAAAGGAACAATTTACCACCTCAGTCATAAGCATTTTCTTTTAATATCTTGTAATATTTTCTTCACACACATTCATATATGATATATAAATTTTTATATCTCTGAACAATGAATTCCTAAAGGATAAAACGTCACACATAAACAACTTTTTTTAAAACTTGTCATTAATTTTATTTATTTATACATATATATATATGTGTGTGTGTGTGTGTGTGTGTGTGTGTGTGTGTGTGTGTGTGTGTGTGTGATAGGAGAAATGGGAAACATTTATAAATGTAATATTTCACTTTTATTAAATCTGCAAGGATCCAGCAATGCCAATATGATGTGCAGATGCCATGAATATATTTCTGTCTCTCAAAAATTTCCTAAAACAAACAAAACTAGAGAATTTAATAAAATATCCATTCTAATTGAATACAAAATAAAAAAGAGGTGGATTTAAGGTTGAGGAAACAAAAACGAATTTAAACATAAGATATAAACAGGATTTCTTTATTTAAAATGTGCCAATTTAAAAAAAAAAAAAAAAGAAGCTTATTAGGCAACGTCCCTATATATTTAATGGAGGTGGAAATTTCAAGAGATCCCGCTAGGGAAGTGAACAATTTACTACCTCAGTTATACCCATTTTCTTTTAACATCTTGTAATATTTTCTTCACACACAGGTATATGCATATATATATATATATATATATATATATATATATATATATATATATATATATATATATATATATATAGTTGGAATAATGTGAGTTTGTGATCCTGGGTTTCACGCTATTTGCGATCGTCTGACAATATATATATGGATAGCTATGATATATATACAGTAGCGTCCAAAACTAAGGGACAAAATTTTAAAACCTAATATTTGTTAGAAATAACAACCGTGAAAAGCTGAAATTTTGACAACTGGTAGTCGTTATCATCCATAATAACATACTAAAATTTGAATCATTTGCAAAGGATAGAAAAAATTATAACAATTATTTATTTATTTTCAAATTTGGAACGTCCAAAAGTAAGGGACAAAATTGAGAAAACAATGTAAACGGCAAAAAAACAATAAAAATACATGTACAATCAATATTTAGCAAAAAGAGCCCTTGCTCTCAATGACAGCTGCACATCTTCGACAAGATGTCAAGAACGAATCAGTTCTTGACAATCCTCGATACTAATTTTAGACCATTCTTCTTGAAGCTTCACCCACAAATCCTCCGTGTTAGTGGGATTTCTTTCCATAACTTTCACTAAGGTCTTCCAAAGATTTTCTATTGGATTTAAATCAGGACTTTGCGGTGGCCAATCCATAATTTCCAAATCTTACTCATTACCACCTTTGCCTTGTGACATGGGGCATTATCTTGCATAAAGGTAGCCCTATCGAAACCTGAATTCTGTATGATTGGCACAACATGATCTTGAACAATGTTTTTATCGATCTGCGCGTTTACACGAGTTTGTAACCGGACAAGAGGCGTTGTACATTTGCTAGAAAACATTCCAAATACCATGACGCTTCCGCCCCCAAACTTGACAGTTTTCTTAGTACACTTTGCACTTAATCTTTCACCAATACGTCTCTTTACATTGTTTTTTCCATCATTTCCAAATAAATTAAACTTGCTTTCATCACTGAAAAATACTTTTGCCCAATTTTCATATGTCCAAATTACATACCTGTTTGCAAACTCTAATCTCTTCTTCTTATTCTTCGAACTAACAAGTGGTTTCTTCCCTGGGGTTCGATTAAACAGCCCTATTTCTTGCAGTCGTCTACAAACAGTCTGTCTTGACACATTAACACATGAGGTACTATTCATAACCCTTTTAATTTCTGTGCAAGACTTAAAACGGTCCTTTAATGACATACGCTGCATTATTCGATCTTCTCTTGCCGAAGTTTTGCGGGGTCGGCCGGTTTTAAAAGCACTAAGTATTTTGCCAGTATCATTGTAGGATTTAACAACCCTGCCTACAACACTCTTGGAACGTTTCACTTTCTCTGAAATCTCTAATGGTGTGCTTTTCCTTGTGTAGCTTCACAATAGCTTGTCTCACAGAGTAATCAAGTTTTTGGCGTTTCGCCATGGTGCCGGCTGATGCAACGTTTACAAATGACTAAGTAAGACTTATTCTTTAGAGGAAATCAAAAAATTTGAATACTGTTTACATTGTTTTTCTCAATTTTGTCCCTTACTTGTGGACGATCCTATTTTGAAAATAAATAAATAATTGTTATAATTCTTTTTCTATCCTTTGCAAATGATTCAAATTTTAGTATGTTATTATGGATGATAACGATACCAGTTTTCAAAATTTCAGCTTTTTACAGTTGTTATTTCTAACAAATATTAGGTTTTAAAATTTTGTCCCTTAATTTTGGACGCTACTGTATATATATATATATATATATATATATATATATATATATATATATATATAGTTTATAAAAAACTAGGTAATCCGTATGGGTAAACCTAAGTAGGATAAAAATCCAGAGAGCTCAATGTAAATCCAGAGCAATAATTTAAATAAAACAAACCATTTTAAAAATCCATGTAATAAATTATTTAACCACAGCCCTTTTATCACTGCGGATCATCAGACTTTACTTCCAAAAGGTTTTTGGAAGTAAAGTTTGATGATCCGCAGTCCTTTAAAAGAGCTGTGGTTAAATAATTTATTATATGGAACCTTAAAGTGGTCTGTTTTTTTGTTTGTATATATATATATATATATATATATATATATATATATATATATATATGGATAACTATTATATATATATATGGGATAAGTATAGTATATCTATGATATATATATGGAATAGCTATGGTATATATGTGGGATAACTATATATATACTAGCAGCATGGCCTGGCGTTGCCCGTGCTTGATTCAAAAATCGTACGACTCATACAGCAATCGCTATCACTTGACGTAAAATATTTTTGCCCTTCCTTGCCTTTAAAGGAGTGTCCTTTGCCATGCTCATGTTGCTACATGCCTTACTTCTTGCCTATCTCACACTGCAAATTTTTCTAAGCTATATACTAAACATAAAATCTGTTACGAAAAAAGAACTAAACAAAATGAACACAAAACGATCAGCTTTAAAAAAGAACTCGTAACTGGAAAAACCGAATGAAAAAAAGAATGTTAACAACAAATACTTTTTCACACCCAACCCAGTTCTGTGGAATCAGAATCAACGTTGAGTTTAAGCAAGCGAATGAGTCAATTGGAGTAAAGTGCCATGCAAATTTAAATTTTTCCCACTTGTGACGAATGCAGCTATCGATTTTTTTTTGCATGCTAGCATGCTAGTTAACATTCGTGTCAGTCAGCTGTTGGCTCTCACGC